GTCCAAACCCTTGGTAGTGACCCATGGGTGAAGGTGGTACAGAAGAGGCAACAGAAATTGCATCTTGTGAAGATGAGGATAACAAGCTTGTATGTTCATTTTGATCTTGATCCTCAGGAAAAAACTTTTTCCTAGGATGTCCCATGACTGTCCTTCCTTTAAAGTAACAGAAAAGTTTCCAAGTTAGCCAAAAGTAGTTTTTACCACTATAAATTTACCATGCTAAGAACAGGTTCTCCCTCCCATCTCAATTTGAAGAGCCTTACCGGTACTGCTTTAAACAAAGTCTTTTCATCTCTGAAATAGCTACTAAATTGCCCTAGTAGGAGAACTGCAAGAACCTATCTATTTGGGTGTATGAAATGGCTGGTACTTACCAACATGCCTTACTTGTTCAGAAATATCATCCCTAATATCTGAAACATCCCACATGGCAAGAAAGGAATCAAAGCATGAGCCCTCTTCTGCTTCTTGGACATAGGGTTTATATGAGAAAGTGTAGTGATGAGCAATAGCGGCAAGGAACATCTCAATACAGATGATAAAGTCCTACAATAACAAAAACAAAAAAGCAGCCATCTTTAAGCTTAAATCTAGTTTTGTAGATAAAAGAAAAGCACTATGTTTCTCTCTTCTCAACAAGTATTTGAATATCAACAGCTGTTTTTTTCCCATAAGGTTATATTCATTTTTTCTTTCTCTAAAATAACTATTTTTGATCTCTTTAAAAAAAGGACAAAATGGCAAAAATTTATATCTATTTTATACTATCTCAGTCAAGTATGTTTTAGCAAAATACAATGTATTCTCAATCCACTGCCCAAAGACTAAGAGAAGTGCACAGAGAGAAACTGACTAGGAAAAACCAAATCTAGGTTCTATTCCTGGTTCTACCACAAATTAGTGATGATGGCTAGTCTCTCTAGGGTTCTTCCCTTTCCTCCTCTGCAGAGTGAGGAGAATAGAATCCCCACAGCCTACATGTTGTCAGGTTCAGGAGATAATATGTAAAATGGGTAAACAGTAAAGTTTTATTAAGTTCACAGAGAGCACTAACCTGGAGTCCTGTAGCCACAGCTTCTACAGTTTGCCATTCCCATGTATGCTTTTCAGAAATAACGCCAACTTTTACCAACAAAGCAATAACTACTGCTTGCCTATATGTTAGGAAAAGGTAAACGCCATATCTATATCAAGCATAAAATGAGCAGGTGTTTTAAAAATATGCCATTTTAAAAAGTTAAACCCCAGTACAACTTGTGGACCACCACACCACCACCACCCTGCCTTCATAGCATACTCCTGATGACATTGCACATCTATTGTAAATACATTTATCCGCTTTAAAAGTTTATTCTTCCAGTAGTTTCGTCATACGAATTTTGATTATGCATTCTTATACACATGGAACTTCAAAACTTGGTTTATATGTCTTTGTTTTGAAAGTGTATACAAAAGTAATTAGATTTTAAGTTCTTCCTATGCCCAGACAATGCCCACAACCTAGAACAATACACACTTAAAATAAAGGACAAGTGTTTTTTTTTACACTTATAATTGTGTAATATATATTTACACATATATTAATTATTCAGATTATTTTTTAAAACATTTTGAAACCAGTCTTGTTAGAAGTGCTGGAACTACAGACAAACTCAGAAGGCACTGGACTCCCAAGGTGGGAGTCAGAATGAATATTTCCAGCACATCCATGGCTATGACCCTAAGGTTAAATTTTAACAGCTAATAATGAGATAGATAAGTTCTGTATGTAAGAATTTTACTTCAATACTGCTTGTAATGGTCAAAGAATAAGGAACAACCTGTCAATAGAAGAGTAGTTAAAAAGTTAGATCCACAGAACAGAATACTGAGTAAAACCATAAAAACCCAAATGGTAAGAAAACTATATCCTCACTTTATTGATAGAGAACTATATCCACAGCACACTGAATGCATCCTTGAATTCAGCAAGTTTTTAGGGTATGAAACTCTTTCATACCATTTTTCTGTGGCATTTTATATGTAACATTATCTGCACCACAGTATTAATCATTCTTTCTGGGTGGTAGGGTTTCAAGGATTATTCTTTTTCCCCTTTTTGTACTTGTATACTGATAAATTTGGTGTATTTGTTTTTAGGTCCCCTATCACCCACCTTTTTTACTAAACTGGGACTATGTACAGTTTTGCTGGGTGGCTCAGTGGGTTAAGCCTCTGCCTTCCGCTCAGGTCATGGTCTCAGGCTCCTGGGATCGAGTCCCACATCGGGCTCTATGCTTGGCGGGAAGCCTGCTTCCTCCTCTCTCTCTGCCTGCCTCTCTGCCTACTTGTGATCTCTCTCTGTCAAATAAATAAATAAAATCTTTTTGTATTTAGAAAATGTATTTTCTAAGTAAATGAACATTACCTCACATTATTAAATATTCTTATGTTTATCTTTCAAACTATAGACTATTCTCTTATATGAAAGGACCACCGTATATTCTTTAATGATTCCTCTAATGTTGAGACAGTTAGGCTGTCTCAAATTATTTTCTTCTTATAAGTGTTATGGTGACCATCTGATTATTTCTTTATGAAAAACCAAGAAGGGCTAAACAGATGAACTTTTCAAAAGGTAAGTAGAGACATTTTAATTCATTTTCTATATTAAAACTATTTTGAAAATCCTCCCTAATCAACAGCGTTATTGCCCTGTAGAAAATGAGAACATTTACATTCAAGAGAAAGCAACACTTACCAAAAAGAAACAAAAACCACCAGTTTTACACAAAGAAATTTGCCAACAGGTTGGATTGGACTCAGTTCTTCCTTCAGTACTTTGTAAAATAGAAGCAGGCAATACATGGCAAACTAGAAACAAAATTAACAACAGTTAAACTTCCATAATAACTAAATACAGTAACAGAAATAACACAGTTACAAACCAGCTACAGAGTAATGTTTTAGGCAATTTTTTCTAGGTTTTCTATTCTGTTATTTTTATTTTATTTTAAAGATTTTATTTATTTATTTGACAGAGAGAGATCACAAGTAGGCAGAGAGCCTGATGCGGGGCTTGATCCCAGGACTCTGGGATCATGACCTGAGCCGAAGGCAGAGGCTTTAACCCTCAGAGCCACCCAGGTGCCCCTATTCTGTTATTTTTAGATTAATAATGAGCTTTTAGGGCGCCTGGGTGGCTCAGTGGGTTAAGCCGCTGCCTTCGGCTCAGGTCATGATTTCGGGGTCCTGGGATCGAGTCCCGAGTCGGGATCTCTGCTCAGCAGGGAGCCTGCTTCCCTCTCTCTCTCTCTCTCTGCCTGCCTCTCCGTCTACTTGTGATCTCTCTCTGTCAAATAAATAAATAAAATCTTTAAAAAAAAATTAAAAAAAAATGAGCTTTTAGAGTTTACTGTGGATGAAATTACAGGATATGAAATTTCTCAGAAGAGATGTATAATGTCTTCCCTGAAAATGTTTTTGAGTATTCCCTTATGGGGGCCCATAAGGAAAATAATGAATAAATGACTGTCATGAATGGAGGAAAAGGCCCCCATTCAGCCCAAATAAAAATATATCTGCTGGGCACCTGGGTGGCTCAGTGGGTTAAGCTGCTGCCTTCAGCTCAGATCATGATCTCAGGGTTCTGGGATCGAGTCCCACATCGGGCTCTCTGCTCAGCAGGGAGACTGCTTCCCTCTCTCCTCTCTCTCTCTCTCTGCCTGCCTCTCTGTCTACTTGTGATCTCTCTCTGTCAAATAAATAAATAAAATCTTTAAAAAAAATATATCTGCTTATTAGACAACATGGTAAATAAGTACTATTTTACTAAAATTATGACCATGAAATATGAAAGGAATCAGGGAAACAATTTTTCTTGAGGGCAGTATGTTAATCCAGCTCAATTTATTTTTTTAAAATAAGTTTTCAAGACTATTGTTTATTTTTAGAAATCAGTTGTAACAACCTAGTGCATTGTACATACAAATAAACATTTCCCTAGAAGTTTAGTTTTCCCTATTACAATTATATAAAATGTTCAGGTAAAATATTTTAGAATGGGAAAGCAATAAAGAAAAATACAAAGCTGCCCATAGTCTCATTATCCAATCATTCCCTTCTACACACAAGGTGCTTTTTGACAGGTATCATCAACTAAAATGTAAAATTTTGTTGCCTGACTTTTCCCCCACTTTAAGTATGTTACTTTTTCTAGTTTCACAGGCTCGATCATGACCTGAGCTGAAGGCAGACACTTAACCAACTGAGCCATCCAGGCGCCCCAGACAGTTATTTTTTAGAGCATTTCAGTTTCTAGATCATATTTTTTAAAAAAGGCATTCACAATTTTCCTTTATTCCAAATATATGAGAGAAATTTATTCCTCCATTTTTTCTTCTTTAAAGATTTTATTTATTATTTATTTGACAGACAGAAATCACAAGTAGGCAGAGAGGCAGGCAGCGGGGTTGGGGGGTGGGGAAGCAGGCTCCCTGGTGAGCAGAGAGCCCGATGCGGGGCTCGATCCCAGGATCCTGGGATCATGACCTGAGCCGAAGGCAGAGGGTTTAACCCACTAAGCCACCCAGGCGCCCCTTATTTCTCCATTTTTATTCAAACCTGGTACTGGAGCGCCTGAGTGGCTCAGTTGGTTAAGCATCTGCCTTTGGCTCAGGTCATAATCCAAGGGTCCTGGGATCAAGCCCTGCATCTGGCTCCCTGCTCAGTGGAGAGCCTGCTTCTCTTCCTGTTTGTGCTGCACGCTTATGTGCGTTCTCTCAGATATATATAAATCTTTAAAAAGAAAAAACCCAAATATTTTAAAAAACCCAAACAAACATGGTACTGTCATATACCAATTACACTTTTTTTTTTAAAGACATAGACATTTTCTCTTTTTGAGTATGCCTAGGTTATGTGTTTTTTAAGGAGAACACTGTGCTTTCATTTATGATATCCATACAAGTATGTAATGACTACAAGAACCAAATGAACAAACATGAACAACAGGTCAAGGTAAAAGTCACCAGGTAATTTACAAAGATACTGTATTTTTATATATGTATAAAGACATGTTAAAGTTTCTTCAAGTTCTTTCCTATAAATTGAATTTCAAAATTAAAAAGTAATGAACTTAATTCCCAAAGAAACTTCTAAGAAAATTAAGAGTCAAAGATACTAATTTAATGCAATTAATATTTACTCACCAATTGTGACATGTTGTTTATTATAACCAAATAAGTCCAAGCATTCGAAAAGCTAAAGTTCCCTTCATCATATATACCAAGCAGCTCACAGATTCTTAAAAATGGTAAAAATGAGATTTATGATTAACTAAAACAAAATATAGTTTAAAACACAGCACTGACAGTAATACTTAAATTTACAAGTTGGTTTATTTAAAAGACCCCACAGATAAGACCCCACTTGATTTTTGGTCACAGAGGTTTAAAATGAAAAAAATTTTCCAGTAATGCTACCATATTATTATCCCTCATCTTAAATCCAAAATAAGACACATACATTGAATTAGAGGAGGTAATTACTAGATTAAAAAAAATTGTCACCTAATTTTGAAAACCTTGTTAAGGCATGTAATGCAAGTCAATAAATAAAACTGTAATTTTTCCCCCAAACTATCTTAGGAGGTAAATTTTATGAATACCCAGATCTCAGAATTAACTTACATGATTCCCCAGTTTCTAAACTGCAGACAAAGCATGCCTTCATAAATAAATTAGTTTAATTCTAAGGTAAATGTTACTAAAGAAATGCTAGCTCAAAGGTAGAATAAAGAAATGAATGCTGCTTTCACCTTTCTTCCCCCTCTTCTCTGAACATGCACAATTATGATTAACAGATAAAACATGTAATCTATTCACTTTATCTGATATTCTTAAATGTTTAGGGAATAGTTTTACCAGATAGCTTAATAATATGCCATTTTACCTCATCTCCTAAGCCTTGTCAGAATTCTTACAAAAGAAAAATATGACTCATCCTTGAAATCTAGTACTCATATTCTAGGTTAACCATATAAAAATAAAACCATATAATGAATCTAAGGTAGCATACTTTAACTTCATGTAACAGATGTTTTTGTAGAGTTATGTGAACATTAATTGAAAAAAAAAAAAAAAAGCATTTTTAAAATGTTTCCCAGAAAGCTGTGGAGACTGTTATTTAGAAGAATTCTTTGGTGATTCTTTGCTTATAAATGATCATCTTATTTTTTATAGTAGGGTTTCTACATACTCTGTTTTTTATAACAGACTAGATCTATAGCATAAACAAGTAAATTAATGCTCTTTGTGCATCCTCTTGTGAAGTCAGAGCATGAGGATTTTAAAAAACGATAATATAAGTTCTTTGTACTTACAAAGCAACAATGGTGGTGAAAGGTCTGACCACTGTATACTGCAAAACACCCAGTTTGCACCTGAACAGCAATACTCTGCCAAAGAGTGGGGGAAAAAAACTTAGCATTTCAACTACTTATTTAAATAGTAGCAGATTTTCTCCAAAGCCCCCCAAATTAAAATCACTTTGACAAATGATGCCATACTTATATTTCATTCTTTTAACCTTGTCATTCTAAATGATAACTGGGTAAGATTGTAGATGGTGGCAAACATTGTTTAAATGCTGTTTTGAAAATTATTTGACAACTACATCTTCTGAAAGATTTCCCTTTCTGTGTTCAGTCTCAAATTCCTGATTACTACAGTACAGAAGGAAGTGTATCCCTGTATGTTTCTGGAAGAAAGACTGAGTAACAAATGAACTGTATGCATGTAAATGTGAACGCATATTCAGGAGGTATTATTTACATTTAAGGTTCAGTTTCAAGTTTGGAATTTAAATATCATTCCAGAGAGTATCACTGATTAGATATTATGAAAGGACAAAAAAAGATCCTGCGTAAACAGTTTTTATCCTACTGCTGGGCTCACTCAACATAGGAGAAAATTCACAAGGAGTAACAAAACAAAAAGTCCAAAAATAAAAAAGGCTCTCTACCTGACAGCCTTGTGCAAGCCTTCTTAAAAGACCAAATTGCTCTGAGGGCAAATGCTTTATTTAGCACTACTATCAGGAGAACTGATTATCAGTGTTAGGTATTACAAATCCCCTAATTTTAAGAATTATTACATCTAGGGGCACCTGAGTGGCTTAGTCAGTTAAGTGGCTGACTCTTGATTTCAGTTCGGGTCATGATCTCAGGGTCCTGGGCTCGAGCTCCATGCTGGCCTCTGCAGTCAGCAGAGAATCTGCTTGAGGAGTCTCCCTTCCTCTGCTCCTCTCCCCACGTGCACTCTCTCTCTCAAATGAATAAATAAATCTTAGGGAAAAAAAAAGAATTACATCTAAACAGAAGACTGAGAATCTGGCATTCAAACCTTGAGGTGTTAATAAAACTGAATAAAGAAACTGTTGGGGTTCTGTATGCTGAGAGCCTTCTCCCTGCTGAGGTGGTTCACTCCCATTTAAAGCCAAGTGTGCCCCATATGGGGGCCTAAGGGGTGCACTTGGGTTTGTTGCAAGACCTCCTGAGAGAATGCCTTGGCTATACATGCTGTGCTTCCTGCCCCATACTCTTTATAAATAGGGTCAAGTCAATTAGCTACCTTTGAAAGCTGTAGAGAATTACTGAACTGGAAGATGTATTTGAAGAAATTGCCCAAAATGTAGCGAAGGCTGAGACAAAGAGAAAATGTGAAAGAGAGTTACAAAGAACTGAACAAAATCAGAAGATCTAACATATTTTTAGTTACAGACGACAGTAGAGGAAAGGCAAAATCAAAAGAGGTTATGGCTAGGAACCCTGCATAACTGATGAAAGATAAAAATCTACAGGTTGAGACACCCTGTAAATCAGGCAGGACTAAAGCAGAAACAAAACAATTTAAATACTTCATGGTGAATCTGCAAAACATCGAAAACTGGGTCTTAAATGCAGGTGGAGACAGATCATCTATAATGGAAAAACACAGACAGAAGAAGCTTAACAATAATAATCGAAGGCAGAATTAGGAAGAATAAACTGTCAAAATGCTTGGAGAAAATTCCTGCCAACATAGAATTACACCCAACAAAACTGCCTTTCAAGAATGAGGGCAAATAAAGATACTTTTGGATAGGTGTACCTGAGAAAATTTGACACTGCTACATTGACACTGCAGGGAACTTTTAAGGGCCAGACTTTAGAAAGAAGGAAATGATCCCACAGAGTGTTGAAATGCAAGGAGTGCAGAGTAAGTAAATTTTTAATATTTGTAGTTAAATCTACAAAAGATTTAAAAAAAGCCTATCCAGGGGCGCCTATCAGTGGGTTAAAGCCTCTGCCTTCAGCTCAGGTCATGATCTCAGGATTCCGGGATCGAGCCCCGCATCAGGCTCTCTGCTCAGTGGGGAGCCTGCTTCCTCCTCTCTCTCTCTGCCTGCCTCTCCACTTACTTGTAATCTGTCAAATAAATAATAAAATCTTAAAAAAAATGCAAAAAAAGTGTCTAATTTTTAAGATTAAAGTTAGATTTTAAGTAGTTACAGTAAATTTTAGACTCTAAGTATTCATGATAACATCAGAAACTATGTAACTTTTAAACCAGTGGTAAAAAATGGAATTAAAAAAAAATGGAGTAAAAAATGAAAATAGCAACAATAACAAAATAATTAACTACCAGTGGAATCTGGAGTAGCACCCAGGTTGATATAGCTGCAATAAAATACATATTTTTGTAACAGGTAAAACAGTCATGTTAAAATTATAAATTGTAAAAGATTATACCCCGTTCTGCTACTATATGAGCTGTGAAAAAGCTTTTGGTTTTCAAGGTTTCTTAAAAAGTATTTTATAATAAAAAAATCTATAATATATTATTTGTTAAATGTGGGTGTTTTAACAGATTTTTCTGTTTACATTTGTTTGTATTCCTCTGTTTGGAAAACTTTAAAATTATTTACTAAAATCTTCATTAAAATGTGGATTCCTGAACTGGATCCTAGAAAGAAAAAGGACATTAGTGGAAAAACTTGGGCAATCTGAAGAGTCTGCAATTAAAAGTATTATACCAATGTACTTTCTTTTTTTAAGATTTATTTATTTTAGAGAGAGTGCATGCACACGCGCATGTTGAGTGGGGGGAGGGACAGAGGGCGAGAAAGAGAATCTCAAGCCAGCTGAGCACAGACCCTCACACAGGGCTTGATCTCAGGACCCTGAAATCATGACCTAATTTGAAATCAAGAGCCCGACACTTAACTGACTGAGACACTCAGGCACCCCACCAATGTATTTCTTAGTTTTGACAAATGTACCACGATTACATAAGATGTTAAACATTAGGGGAAGCTGGGTAAGGATGTATTATAAATCTGTCTTGTCTTTGCATCTTTACTGTAAATTTAAAATTATTCTAAAATAAAGGCTTACTTTAAAAATGGAGTCAGTGATAAAAGAATAGAAGACAAAAAGAAAAACAGATGGCAAGATTTTAAATGACTATATCAATAATCAAAAAAATCTAAATGGGCTAATTTAAGTGATGAACTGTCAGATTAGAATTCAAAAAATACTAAACTTAAGTCATATATCTAAAACATAAGGAAATGGAAAAGATGAAAGCCAAAGGTAGAGAAAGATATGCCAGGCAAATACTAAACAAAAGATGGGAAATCTATTAATATCAGACAAAATAACTTTAAGACAAAAACTTTTTTTTTTAAATTAGAAAGGATGCCTGAGACTGAAGGGGGAGGGGCAGAAGAAGGTAGAGGGAGAGAGACTTAAGCAGACTCCATGCTCAGCTTGGAGCCCAATGCAGGGCTTGATCTCATGACCCTGAGATCATGACTTGAGTCAAAAATCAATAGTTGGATGCTTAACTTAAGACAAAAAAGGCACTTAAGGCAAAAAAGATTATTTGGAATAGAAACAGCAACAAAATATATAAAACAAAAACTGACAGAAGTACAGAAAGAAAGTGACAATCTGGCAGAATTTAAGTATCTTTTTCAGTAACCGTACAAGTAGTCAAAATCAAAAGAAATACAGAGAATTTGAATAACACATAAGCTTGACCCCATCATGCACATAAATATAACACAGCCATTGATATAGAATATACATTCTCTTCAAACATACAAAACCTTTATAAAAAGTGATCATGTACTAAGGACATGAAACAAATCTTAACCAATCCTAAAGGCTGTCTCAAAGAGAGTATATTCTCTGACTGCAATGAAAAGAAATAAAATGAAAATCCACCCCAAATCCTGTTTGGAAATTTAAAAATATTCCAGAATAACTCTGGTAAAGAAAAAATCCCAATAGGAATTTAAAATGGGATGATAATGAAATTACAGAACATAAAATCTGGGATTTATGGGATATTAACTAGACTTACTGTGGTGACCATTTTGCAATACATATAAATATTGAATAATTATATCATACAACTGAAATTAATATAATGTATGTCAATTACATTTCTATAAAAAAACTGGAATTCAGCGAATATAGAACTTGAAGGGAAATATACAGTTGTTAATGCAGTATTAAAAAAGGGGATGGCTGGCTGGCTCAATCAAAAGACCAAGTGACTTGATCTTGGAGTGGTTATGTTCAAGTCCTACATTAGGTGTAAAAATCTGTTAAAAAATTTAAAAACTCTCAAAAAAAAAAAAAGAAAGGCTATGTAAATTAGTGAGCTAAGGCTCTAACATGTTAGGAAAAGATAGTAAACCAAAAGAAATGGGAAAAAGGAAGTAAAAATAGGGCAGAAATTAATGATAGAGAAAACCAATATATTACACAGAAAATCAACAAAGCCAAAAATCAGTTCTTTAAAATTTTTATCATTTTAAAGATTTTATTTAGTTGAGAGAGAGAGTGAGCAGAGTGAGAGCGAACACAAGTGGGGGGGGGATCAGACTCCCCACCGAGCAGGGAGCCTGATGTGGGGCTTGATCCCAGGACCTCAGTATCATGACCTGAGTCAAAGGCAGATGCTTAACTGACTGAGCCTCCCAGGTGCCCCCAAGATCCAGTTCTTAAAAAGACTAGTAAAAATAGGCAAACTTCTGACGAGATTGTTCAGGGAAAAAAATAAAGATACAAACAGCATTACAAATGAAAAATGAATCATAACAACAGATCCAGAAGAGAGTGAGAAGATATATAAATGTATGCCCATAAAGATTTATTTATTTGAGAGAGTGTGTGTGCGTGTATGAGTTGGGGCAGGAGGGGGAGGAGGGAGGGAGAGAGAATCCCAAGCAGGCTCACAGCTGAGCTTGGAGCCCAACTTGGGGCTTCATCTCAGGAGCCCGAGATCATGCCCCGTACTGAAACTGAGGAGGATGCTTACCTGACTGAGACACCCAGATGGCCCTGCCTATACATTTTTAAACTTTTTTTATTCTGCCTAGTTCCTAAAAATTTTATTTTTTAAAAAATGATTTCAGAAACAACAGGATGCCTAAATAGTTCTATACTTGTCCTCCCATAAAGTCCAGGTCTAATCTTCAATGGTATAGTTACAGTCTTTTCCTGTGACACACAAACAAAAGGTGATAATGCCTATTCAGGCAGTATAACTTGGATATGAAAATCAGACAGGAACAACTTAAAAAAGGAAAATTATTGTCTAATCTCACTCATGAACATAGATGTAAAAATTCTAAACAAAATATGAGCAAACCAGACCTTGTGGTGTAGCAAAGCAGATGATACATCTTTATCACTTTGAATTTATCCTTGAAATACAGGGGGTTTTAACATTAGAAAAGCTATTAATCTAATTCACTAAATTAACAGATTTAAGGCAAAATCCAACCATCTCAAAAGATACAGAAAAAGCATTTGATGAAATTTAATCATTTACTCATTAAAAATTCAAACAAGCCAGGAGTAAAAGAGAGCTAGCTCATTTAACTTGACAAAGGATGCCTACAATACACCTTTAAAAACATAAAATTCAATTACATTTTATAAGAATTCCCTTTACAATCAGGAATAATGTAAGAATATCTAGGGTTACTCAACAGCAGGGTGAGAAGAGAAATATAGAGTATAGACTGGAAAGCAAAGAGATCCTTCACTTGAAGAGGACTATCTTCACAGAGAACTTAGAAAGATCTACAGACTAAGAAAATGTAACAGGATTTTTGGATATAAGACCAACATGCCAAAACCAACTGCCTTTCTACACACTGGAAGCAATTAAAATGATTTTTAAAATAGATGCCATTTATAATATCAATAAATATGTTTATAAAATCAAAGATATGTAAGACTTTTGAAAGTTCATTTGAGGAAATGTACTTTTGAAAGGTAAATGAAGAGCTAAATAAGTAGAAAGCTAGACCATAATCATGCTAAGACTCAAAAAATCATAAAGATGTCAATAAACCAAAAACAATTCAATTACAATAAAAAAAAAAAAAACCCACAGGTTTTTCAAGCAACTTGCCAAATTGTTCCTAAAGTTTATACGTAAGAGTGAAGACCCAAAAATAGCCAAGATAATAGGGTCAGGGCCCTTGCCCCTCACTTTAAGGTTTATTAATAACTTGTAGTAGTAAGTGTATGGAATTGGTCCAGGAATAGAAAAGTTAACCAATAAAACAGAAGAAAAACAAAAAAAACAAAACAATAAGCCACAGACAGACCCATACATGTTGAAACCTGACATAAGACAGAGACAGCAAGATCAGAGAGTGAGGGAGAAGGGAGAGAATGGTGCTAGGACAATTAGCTATTAGAATAAAAAATGAAACTGCATTTCTACCTCACACAACATAAAACATTGAATGTTTATAAATCTTAATGAGAAATTTTTGAAATCTTTATAAGAAAAGCACAGGACAATGTTTTTTGCAATCCTGTAATTGGAATAATTTTTTGAACAAGACACACAAAAGTACTGACTATAAAATAAGATAAATTTAACTATATTAAAATTAAATTCAAAACTTCTATTTATCAAAAGATTTAATAAAGGTGGCAAAGCATGCCAAAACCTATAAAAAAGGTATTTTCTATACACACTAAACAAAGATTTGTATCTAAATATATAAATATCCCCTACAAAGCCATGAGACAGACAACCCATTAAAAAATGAGAAACGGGGTGCCTGGGTGGCTCAGTTGGTTAAGCGACTGCCTTCCGCTCAGGTCATGATCCCGGAGTTCCAGGATCAAGTTTCGCATGGGGCTCCCAGTTCCGCGGGGAGTCTGCTTCTCCCTCTGACCTTTTCACCTCTCATGTTCTCTCTCACTCTCTAAGAATTAAAATCTTAAAAAAAAAAAAAAAAGAAAGAAAGAGAAACAAGAATTCCTTGGGAAAGGAAATACAAATACTTAATAAACATAAAAAGTTGCTTAACCTCATTACTAATCAAGGAAATCCAAATTAAGACCACAGCAATATACCACTTTATATTCCCTTGACAGGCAAACATAAAGAAGTCAGGGTAATTCCAAATGTAGGTGAGTATGTGGTTCAAGTAGAAGTGTTTTATACTGTCAGTGGGAGAGGAATATGGTACTGCCACTTCAGAAAACAATTTACCACTAACAAAGCTGAACAAAACCTTAAGACTTAGCATGCCACTACAAGGTACACACCCTAGGGCAATTTTTTTCAAACTGTCAAATTTAATTTGTTAGGTCATGACCTGAATTTTATAAACAAGAGGAAGGAAAGGAATATAAAGTAAGGATTAGTACCATCTCATGAAACCATTTCTTTCACTAGTATACTAAATCAACTGGTAAATGGTTTCCCCTCCTCCATACAAAATTTAAGGTTCACTGAAAGAAAACTCAATGTGCTCACTGTTTATGTTACAGCAAGAGGACAAAAAGTTGACCTAGTTTTTTAATCAATTAACAACTGCAAACTTGCCATGCTATTTACATCTTATAACCAAAGCACTATACTGAATTATCCTAAACAGCAGAGCCTAATTAATTATCAGATTTGTAACACCAGTTACCTACTAGAGGGAGACTGGTAACCTACAATGAATTTATACATAAGAGCCGTTTTATTATTACTAAAACCAACCTCTAAATTACATAACATAGGTAAACACTTAATCTTTTTTCAAAGCAAAGAATACCTGAGTTATAACCATGGATGCACTGTTGACATTATTCAGGAAGCAGCTGTCAAAACTCAAGTCTCAGGAAAAAAATGAAACCAACTCAGAGATTTAACAAGAATAAATGTAATTGTGTAGTGAGGAACAAATCAATTCCACAAGCACAGACTAGGGGGATTTTGACCAGTAGTTTCCCTTGAAAAAGGCTTGGGGTTTTAGTGGACCCCTAGCTAATTGTGATGAGCCACCTTGTAGAGAGCTAGAGTCTCATTTTAGGCTCTGCAGTATTAGGAAGAGAGTCCTAATCAAAGCCAAGCCATTATCATTGTATTTACTGGATCACTGCAATCTCTTCCATCCTTGTCCACTCTCAATTCAGTCTACAAAGAGCACAATAATCTCTGAAAATGAAATTTGGCCCTAGTCCTCTATTCAACATCCTATAATGGCTTCTCACTATCCTGACCAAACTTTAGACAGGTCTCCCTGAGCTGTCTTTTTTTTTTTTTTAAAGATTTTATTTATTTATTTGACAGAGAGAGATCACAAGTAGGCAGAGAGGCAGGCAGAGAGAGAGGAGGAAGCAGGCTCCCCGCTGAGCAGAGCCTGATGCGGGGCTCCATCCCAGGACCCTGGGATCATGATCTGAGCCAAAGGCAGAGAGGCCTTAACCCACTGAGCCTCCCAGGCGCCCCCTGAATTGTCTTTTCAACTAGGCATCATTCTCAGGCCTTGTCCTTGGCCTAAGTCAGACTGAGTAAGAATACTACTAAGTCATCTCCCTACCCCTGATACCTGATTACCCTTGATAATTGCTAAGCTCACCCCCAGTCTTGATGTGTAAGTGCTTGGTCTGCCCTTCACAAGAATTCTATTATGCCATTTTAAAGAGAATCCCCCTTCCCTTGATGTCTCCTTTCAGTAATTTTCCATCCAGTGATCACCTCAATCTGCTCATTAGCTATAAATCTCTCTATCCATATTGTATTTGTTGCCGGGCACAGTATCTCTCCCCCATTTCAAACTTAAAATAGTTTTCTTTTACTATTCCTCTTTCATAGTCTTTTCCTTTACCTTCATAGCATTTCCTGATGTAAGTAACTCTGTATTTGTGTCTTCATTTAATTCCAAACGTCCAAACCGAAATGTAGGTTCTATGAGTTCTACATCTGTTATATGCACTAGAATATATCTGTATATTGGCACATACTAAATGCTTGATACATATCAAGTGTGTTAATGAACATATTAAGAGCTTACCATTTAAAACAGCTAGGTAGCTCCCTGTCATTGCAAGTGTGTAAACTAGAGACATATATAGTCCCAATGTTGGACAAATGGTTCTGTATTGCATAGTAGGCAATACAGGTCTCCCTAGGTTGTAGATCTACACTGATTACTGTAACTCCAAATCATTCCAGTTATCTTGACTGGCAACTTTCACCTTAGTCCCCATTATCAGTGAGCAAGTCCTACCAGATCTTCAGTTGCAGCCTCTTCCTTTCATTCTAATTTCATCTCTCCTTCTCAGCTTATCTCACAAATGGACTAAAATAACAACTTCCTAATTTATTTCTCCATTTCTGGAATCTTCCTCCCTCCAATGCATTCTGTATAGTATTGCAAAATTAATCTTTCTAAAATGGTACCTTCAAAAGTTTCCTTGATGAAAAATATCCAATGGCTCATTCATATAAAAAATGCAATCTTAGCTTCAACTGAAATTTTCAGGCTTTATTTTTCTTTACTGTCCTCTATGGCTATAGAATAAGGCCAACAGACCATTATATAGTACTAGAATAAACACTAAACACTTACCCACTTAGACTATCTTATCCCTGGGTCTTACACCTGATTTTGCCATTAACTAGCTATGTAATCTTGATCTCTGTAGATCCTGGGTCTCAACAGTAAAAGGATGTTGACTAAATGATTCACAGAGTTTTCTTCCCTGCAAGTTGTCTATTTAGGATAAATAATGTACAAGAGAGTTCTTCGTTTGTGTGGATTATAAAAATGTGTTTTCATACTCTTTAAACTTGACTATGAACTACTTGAGGGTGGGAACTCTTCTTAAACTTTCAGTCCTGCTCCAAGTACTTAACATGCTGCTTTACAGAGAAATGACTGGTGCTTAAAAATTTTGTTTAAATACATAAAAAGATTAAATCAGTCATACTTACTCTCCCATAGTCCATGGTGGACAGCAACACAATGGAGGGAAATGTTTCTGCTGATCTTTGGCTTCAAGGATTAATACCAGATTTGGATACCGGTTAGTTAGATAATTGGTAAGGAATCCCATAAAGTTGTAAATGACATAAGCTTCATAACATTCCCTGCAGGTATCCACATATATTGCAATGCTGGGGTATTTCAAAGCTATCCACTATGAAAAAACACAGATGTTAAAAATAGTTGCAGCTAAATGAACTGCCATTCCAAATCATGGTTATCACAATGCTAAGTTTTAAACTTGATACTTACATCAAACTTTCTAAAATTTATGAGAGCTACCATATAATCTGTGAAATGAATTTTTAAAAGCAAAAAAGCTACTGGATACTGGTAAAAACATTCATGTTGGGGGGTAAATAGTATGAAGAAAGAAGCTAAATTATTCTGTAATTAGGTTCTTAAATATAATCTGAAATTTTTCTTGAGATGATCATAGAAAATGCAATTAGAGATATTTCCTTTATATTTAACCAAATTAAAGCAGTGATCTGTGACAACTGCATGTTTGAATCCATCAGGGAAGAGTTTTTACCCCCCAAACAAAAGATTTACTACATAAAAAGGATGATAATGTAATTTTAAATATTATATTCTTTAAAGGACTAAGAGCTAGTACTTAGAAATTTTATACGATTAAGCAAAGAAAATAGCTATAGATTTTTTAAAATTTAAAACACCCGTCTTTTCTATTGTCGTACTTCATCTTTTTTACTAATATTAAAAACAAGTGAATCTTTGCACTTTTCTTACTAATCTGACTCCTTATTGCCAAATTAATAAACTTTCATTACTGTAAGCATTCTGTAAATATAGTTATATCATCAAGCAAGTTCTTAGCTAATGAGATAAAATTAAATATACTTACACTATCTAAACTGTATATAGGTACCATCCAAAGAATCCTAGTTGGAAAGCAAAGCATAAATTAAAAACATTTTACATCACAGTTATGAAATAAGTGAACATAACACTAGAAGAATTAAAATATATTCACACTTACCTTATTATTGGTTTCTGTAGTTCCGGTTGTGTATAATGCACTAAATGTTGCAATATCACCCATAGCGATATAGGTATAGTCAATAGCAAAAAGATTCCAGCAATAAACCAAGCCTTGGTGTGTATTCCAACCTTTAAAAAAATAAATATTAATAAATTAATCCTGATATTATAACTGAAAAGCTAAATAGAGAATCACAAGCAGGCTCCATGCTCAGGATAGAGCCCAACTCAGGGCTTGATCTCATGCCTTGAGATTACGACCTGAGCTGAAATAAGAATCAGACACTTAACTGACTGAGCCACCCAGGCACCCCCAAAAACTCTTTTCTGGTCTACTCCTTTGCTTTTATGTTAGAGAGTTAAAATCCTACCTACATTTTCTGTGAATTTTATTGTTACCCAACATGTTAATAGAACATGTACAGAGTATTGCCTAATAACTTTGCTAAGTTTTTTATATGCGTTATGTCTTTTAACCCTCCCACTTGATAAGTACTGCCAGAACTACTGTCCAAATAAACTGTGTTAATTCATGCTACCTCTATTATATACAACAGTATCAACTCAGGATATTACATTTTAAAAAGCTCTAATTTCATTTTTTAGGTATCTGATCAATATTTTATCCTTTAAAAGCTCACTCAATTTCTAAAAATATAATTTGGATGACTTTTTTAAAAAGATTTTATTTATTTGAGAGAGAGAGAGAAAGAGACAGCATGAGCAAGGGGGAGAAGCAGCGGGAACAGGGAGGAGCAGACTCCATGCTGAGCAGGAAGCTGGATGAAGGGCTGGATTTGGAGGAGTCTGGGATCACGACCTGAGCTGAAAGCAGACGCTTAGCTGATTGAGCCAGCAGGCACCCCTGAGCTATCTCATCTTAAGGTAGAGTTGAAGCAATTCACTCACTTTCCTGCCCAACCCCCCAAATTTTGAACTTCTGTTCTATCTGTGGAGCCCAAAGGAGTGAATTTTATATTAATTTGTGAATTCACTCTTCAAGGCAGGAGTACAAATTAATGCTCATTTTTTAAAGGAAAAAAAGTGGGCATTTAATTTTGGTACTTTTGGGATGTGAACAGTTAATTAAAAGAGCTAAAGTCCACAAGTTCTAGTTTTATTTTTTTTGAACAGGATTTTTTTTTTTCAACAGGGGTATAAAAAACAGAAGTATAGAGAGAACAAATGCATTTTTACAACAATGAACTTCTACACTAAATAGTATGGAAAACCTGAAAAGCAAACACAGTTAGCCCTCGAACAATTTGACATTTAGCACCCCAACTCCATTACAGGTGAAAATCTGTATATAATTTTTGATTCCCAAAAACTAACAGCCCACTACTGATCAGAAGTCTTACCTATCACATAAATAGTCCTTTAATAGATATTCTGTATGTTACATATATTATATGTTTTCTTAAAGTAAGCAAGTAAGCTAGAGAAAAGAAAATGCTATTAAAAATCGAAGAGAAAATACATTTATAGTACTACACTGTATTTATTGACAAATATCTGTGTATAAGTGGACCTAGAACAGTTCACACCCATGCTGTTCAAGGATTAATTACACAAGAAGTCTTGCTGAATGTTGGAGAATAATCAAAACAGTAAGTGAAAGCTAAGTATGTGGAGATGAAGATTCTAAAAGCAATGTCTGTGCAATCATTTTCCAGGATTTTTGCTTGGCTCAATTTCATTTAATATTTAGTACTGGTGGTCCCAGACTTACCTGATTCAACTTTCAATTTCTTGACTTTACAATGGTGCAAAAATAATATGCATTCAGTAGAAACTATACTTCAAATTTTGATCTTTTCCTGAGTGTTTTGCTGTGTGGTCTGATGTTCTTCTCCTGATGCTGGGCAGGGGCAGGGAGCTGTAGCTCCCAGTCAGAGATGGGATCCTGAGGGTAGACAATCTATACACCTACAACTTCCTTCACATGTGATGGGATTACATCCCGAAAAACCCATAAACCCATGGAAAAACCCATAAGCCCATCATGGTTGAAATACCCTCAGTTGAAACTGCATTTAATGCACTTAGCCTGCCAAACAGTATAGCTTTGCTTCGCCTCCCTTAAACATGCTCAGAACACTTACGTTAGCCTACTGTTGGGCAGAATCTTCTAAAACACAGCCTACTTTATAATAAAGTGTTCAAGATCTCGTATCTCATGTAATTTAATGAATACTATACTGAAAGTGAAAAACAGAATGGCTATATGGGCACAGAACGGCTTTAACTATGTCGGTTATTTACCATCATGATTGCATGGCTGGTGGAACGCTACAGCTTGCTGCCCAGGCCCAGCATCATGAGAAGAACATTATACTACAAAGCACTAATCCAGGAAAAGATCAATATTCAGAATCTGAAGTACGGTCTCTACTGAATGTATACTGCTTTCACACTACTGTAAAGTCAAAAAAATCGTAAGTCAAACCATCATAGTTGAGGACCTTCTGTATACCCACAGTGCCATTCTGTTTTTCACTTTCAGTACAGTATCCAATAAATGACATGAGATACTCGATACTGTATTTTAAAATAGGCTGTGTTAGATGATTTTGCCCAACTGTAAGCTATAGTTATTCTGAGCATATTTAATGTGGCTAGGCTAAGAGATATGTTTGGCTGGTTAAGTGCATTAAATGCATTTTTACAGACAATATTTTCCACTTATGATGGGCTTATCAGGACATAACCCCATTATAAGTCAAGGAAGACCTGTGTTCATTTTAACGATGACCTAGAATAATAACAGCAGCATATTCTAGATCTTCTCTGTTATAAGGTGACAATTAAGAACTATACTGTCAAGTAATTTTAATGCCCACGTTTGTTGTTATAATTCCTTACTGCCAACTTGGTGGTAGACTTAAGAGAAAAATGATGTGCTTGTGACTAATGAAGGCCAAGCATCCTCAGTGTGCTATAAAAAAGAAAGTTCTTTTCAAATGATCGTAAAACAAGTGACTAGAGAACTGAGTCATTTGGCAACTGAGTGATGCCAAATTAAAAAAAAAAAAATCTTGCATCAAAGAGTTAGTACCATTTTTACATTGCAGGTGGTAGTTTCAAAAATACATCATCTGTCCATATTGATGCCATTAATTTGAATCACTGGTTTCATAGTTTTTTGACTTTTGAGATACCTAAAAAAGCTATATGCATACGAAATGTAATCTGTTTTGTGTGCACATATATTTAAGAAATAAGTAAACGTTAGGTATCTGTAGAAATTATTAATATAATTATTACCTTTATTTTAATTTACATTTATTTCTCAATAAATTATTCACATTTGAATTGATATGAGGATATCATTAATATTATTAGACTTATCATCCATAAGTGGAGATACGTAGTATAGATTTTTCCCTCCTATGGTAACTTGAAGAAAGCAGAGAGGAAAGAAAAAAACCATTAAGGACAAACATCCAGGAGTGAGTTAAGTAAACCTGAGCCAAATGCTTTCAGAGCAGAGAGTAGAGTGCAATAAGAGAGTGCTCTCTGGATCAAATCCTCAGGAGAAGAGAGGAGCACTTACATAGAGAGAAGCTACTTGGGGCATAAGTACACGCAGGGCAGGGTAAAATGACAGCAGAGTAGTTTGACAGTCTGTGTGCATTTAACTTACTGGACTTCCATTATCCATGCTCAGCCAAATAAGAGACAGAAATAGTTTAAGTAGTTCAGATGGTCATCTTCCCATTCCAATAAGTAAGTATATGCCCCACCGTGGGCACAGAATGGGCTCTATGAGCTTCCTATTTTTTACAATCTCAGTTACCCACTGACTTCTCACTGTGGAAGCACAGGAATTCTAGTGTTTAAAACACAAAAATGTTTTTCATGCAAACTGTTCCTTAACATTTAGTGCTCAAGCAATATGTTACTCTGCTTCAGGCGTTCAACTGGGAACCCAATCCCAACTAAGATGTTATTCCACAAGAAAAAGAAATTGGGGCTCCAAAGCCATAGTGAAATCTTAAAAACAACAGTGATAATTAGGTCTTACTGAACACCTACTATGTGGCAGGCCCCATGTTAAGCATTTTCGATACATAAACTCATTTAGTGAATAATAATGAAGAGAATGATATATCGTATATAAAGCACTTAGCACAATGTCATGTTAGCCACTACTTCTGTGTGTCAGTTTTCCTACCCATAGAATGAGAACAACTCCTATGCTTCACAGGTTTTAAGAAGATCAAATAAAATTATACCTAATTCTTGGGGACATGCTGTACTTATTGTATGTAACCTTAAAAACAAAACACAAAAGAAAAACAAAAACAAAAAAAACCCTGCCTTAACCCACACTCCTATCCATAATGCCATTCATTTCTCTGGTCCATTTCATAGTAAAAATACTAAAAACAAAACCAAAAATGAACAAAAAAACTGGTCTTCGTATCCTGATACCACTTCTTTGAGTCACATTCATTCTTCCAACAGTTTCAGTCCTTACAGCTCCACAGAAACCATTACTAGGATCACCAATGACCCTCCTACCTTATGAAAACCAGCAGACGACTCAGGAGCACTGTACACTGTTCAGTATTCAACTCCTGAAACACTCTCTTGTTCTGGCTTCTAGACACCACTCTTTTCGGCATTCTGTTTCCTCACTGGCTGATGCTCTTTTGTTAAGTTCCTATTCCTCTACCAGATTTCTAAATGTTGGTGCCAGGTCTTTAGCCTCTATAATCTCATTCACCCTTATGGATTTTTTTTTTCCCCTGAAGATTTCATTTATGTATTTGACAGAGAAAGCGCGCGGGAGAGAGAAAGCGCAAGCGCACAAGCAAGGGGGAGTGGGAGAGGGAGAAGCAGGCTCCCCTCTGAGTAGGTAGGCTGATGCGGGGATCCACCCCAGGACTCCAGGATCACCACCTGAGCACAAGTCAGGCACTTAACCAACTGAGCCACCCAGGCACCCTATCCTTATGACTTTAAACACCATCTCTGTTCTGACAACGCTCATTTTAATATCTGCAGCTTGAACCTTTCTGAACACTCGACTTGCATATCCAACTGTGTCTCTGACATGCCCATCTGATTGTCTCTCATCCACTTCAAACTAAATGTCCAAAGCAGAACTCAAATTTCTCTCAAACCTGTCCCGATCAATTTTCCATTTCAGTAACTGGTATCACTATTTACCCTATTGTTCAAGATAAAAAAAACTCACAGTCATTCTTGATTATTTTCTTTCTTTCACTGCCTCTCCTCCCCAACCCAACCTTCGGTAAAGTCTTGTTTCTTCACTGCCAAGGATACTTAAAATTCGCTTTTCCATCTCTATTTCTACTATCCTGATTTGGGCCATAAGTCATTGTAACTCAGGCACTGATGACTTCTTAACTATCGTGAAGAGCTTTCTAATGTCCCTTTACTTCCACTTAATTTTCCATAGCTGGCAGTGGTGTTTTGAAGATGCCCACTTGTTCATTTCTTAGATCTTTTTTTAGTTTCTTCCATAGCATTTTGTGCAATTTTATTTTACTGATTTGGGGTTTTGTTTGTTTTCTGGGTTTTTTTTTTTGGTTGTAGTGGTCTCCACCACTAAGTTCCATGCAAGTGGGAACCAGGTTTTTAGCTCGCACCATACCTAACACACGCCTGATTTATCACTGGGATGAAGGAAAGTTTGCAATTTTTAAACAGGGTAGCTGGGTGACATGAGTGGACCCGAAGGACATAAAGGAATAAGAATACCACCTAGGATAAGAGAATGCCACGGATGGGGAACATTTAATGTAAAGGCCATAGCCTACTCCAAATGTCTGAGCAAAATCACTGGTAGAAGCCCAGAATTGGGGAAAGTCAGAGGGGGATGAGGCAGGGGTGGTGTCAGATTATGTTGGGACATAATGGCCATAGTTAGAGCTACCGGCTTTTAATCTGGAACTCTGAGTGATTGGAAAATTTACAGAAGAGGCACATCATGTAACTTAGGTTTTAATCAGATAATTTGGCTGGTGAATTGAGAATAGTCCAGATAAGACATGAAGAGAATTTGGTTCAGGGTGTTTACAGTAGAGACTGCAGATGAAAATTTTCCTTAAAAGCTGCCACTTAAAAACCACAGGTAACTAACAACTAAGTGGAATCTTACATTGGATTGGTATTATATGTATTAGCCTTAAAAGGAGTTCCTATGCCACACTCCAAAAACATACTCCCAAGTAAAAGAATCCTAGTTGTATGAAGATGTCTATACTTGATTTCTGGTAGACAAATCATGAGAATAATCTACACTTCTAACAAATGGGGACTATTTAACATAGTGGAATATTATATTAACATGACAAATAACTAATAGGCTATGCCAATATGGGAAAGTCAACAAAATATAATTTAGTGAACATAGAGAAAACAAAATGTATGTTAAGCTGCATTTTGTTTAATTATGTAAGAATCATTTCCAAAGCCTAAAATAGCCATGGGCTTGCCATTGCTCTTGTAAAATAGGTGTTGCTAAATAAAAGTACTTTCTGGTATTTATTAACTTAGAATTGAAAATTCACTATACAATTTTTATAAAGTACCCATCTAAGTTGAGTATTTACCTTGGGGTCTTCCAGCTTGTAGCACTTTACTGATGTCACAATAAGAATATGACATCAAAAAACATACAAGGGACTTTTTGCAAAATCTTTGTGGGTTAAGAGCTAATTTCTAAGTAAAAACAAACGACAAAGTTAAACCCACTAGAAGCCTTTAATTCAGGAAGCTAGTTAAGTGCTAACAGAATTCAAATACATGGTTTTCAAGGTTGTTTATATGATCTAGTCAAGTCCAATATCTGAACAGATCAGATTTCAGGAATAAAATTATCTTATTACTTTCTGGGAATTGATGAATACTTGCAAAAGAGTGATCTTCTAAGCAGCAAACCTAATATAGTCTAACTATTTTCTCGACCTGGTCCTCCTTCCACCTGCAACATGCTTTGAATTACCGTGAACAAGAAACCAGACAGGTTTATCAACTAAGACTGGGCTCATTTACATGACGTAATTTTCAGGATATCAAGTCTGGGGCATCTGGGGTAAAACATGGGCAACCTTAGATGGGCAGGACCGTAGAAGAAAGGGTAGATTAGACACCGATGGTGAAGGACCCTCTTACCTCCAGCTTCTGTAATTCCCACACGCACAGAGGAACCGCAACCACTATGGACACCAGGTAGATGACCACCGCTAAAGGTCGAATCCACTGTCTCCAATTCCTCCAGGTACAAGTGCAAGGCATGTTTCCGCATAAATCAGCTCCAAGTAGCAAGGAAAAAGAGCTCGAAGGAGACTGTAATGGGGAGCCCTGTTCTTTGGCTGTTGTGTCAACTCGCATACTACAGAGAACAGCTGTTGGGGGACTTTACCAGCAGCTCGAGCCGCCTCCTCGGCCCGCGCTGTGCTTTCTGCTGCGGCTACCGCAACTGCGGCCGCTCAGGGTGCTACCAGGGAGCAGCGCGGGCAGCATCCTTTCTTCCCTGCCCCGCATCTACCCAGTTCTTCCGCGGTGAAATCCCCGGGCGGAGCCGCTGCCCTCACCTGGGTATCGCCCAGAGCTCCGCCTGCACCATGGCCTCGAGGACAGCGGCGCCGACCAGGACCGACTTCTAAACACCCTGAACACAGTTTGGTTCTGCCCCGCAGCTGCCTGTCCACTTGCTCTTTTCTTGGGTAGTCGAGCTTCCTCCCTCCCGCGCCTGCAGGGGTCTCTTGGCCCGATTCTGCCGGCAGACAAGAGGCGAGGACGCAAACCCGCTGGGGCCAGGATTTCCTCACTCACTCCCACGGGACATCCCCCACAGCGGAACCCAAGGCCAACCCAGGGCTTCCGCTTCCGCCCCCGCTGTTTGAGGGTGCTGATTCGTCTACACTGCCAAACTGGGCCCACCCCATCCGGCTCGCTTTACACTCTCTGATTGGTCATTTGGGGGGGCGGGGCTGTAGAGAGGCGTAGAAAGGTGAGAAGGTTGGGAAGAGAAGGAGGTAGTTGGGAGTTGTTGGGACTGGTAGGGGTTCCCGGTGGCCGGTGAACAGGATTCTGGAAGCGGTGACGAATTGTTTGAAAAGACTTGAGGAATACCTACTGCATTCTCCTCGCTGTATTCCAGCATTAAGAAAGCCTGGGTAAGACGTTAGAACAAAGATCCCCGGTTCTCTCTGGGAGTGGATAGGGGAGCCGGAATAAGTCCGTGAAGAACGGGAAACGTCCTCCTGATTTTCTATCAGTTGTTAGACTCCAGGGGAGGGCTACTTAGTTATTTCTGGATCCTGCAGAACATTCTGAAGGTAGCTTCATTTTAGAAGCAGCTGTAAACTATGAATATCCTTTCCGCATTTAGAACTTGTGTTAGAAACTCTCATATCCTTAAGTTTCAAAAGGCTTTGACATTCCAGCTGTCAGACTATGTGCTTACAGCTTTTAGCTAAACCTATAGAACCAATTTGGCAAATAGGATCTTAAAGCCTTTCAAAGACAATAGACCAAACAGATATCTAACTTCTCAATTAGATATACGGGAAGTGTCCTATATTGTAATTCTCATTTTCTGAGGGGCAGGCATTGTACTGAATTCTTTACCTGCATTATGTCAGTTAATCTGTACAAAAATCCAGAAAGGGAGGCAGTTTTCCATGTTAAGTGAGGAAACAGGTTCAAGTAGTTAAGTAATTTGCTTTTGCTCCTTGAGCTAGTTAGTGGTAAGTGGGCAAACAGGTTCAAGTGGTTAAGTAATTTGCTTTTGCTCCTTGAGCTAGTTAGTGGTATGTGGGAATTCTAACCTTGGTCTCTTGACTCCAAAGGCACTGGTTAGTATTTGACCTGTCAGACTGTACCTGCCACCTGAGAATTTCTGACTAATGACTCTGTGGACAACAAGACCTTGGTGTTGAGTGCACTTAGCCTAGAATTCTCACAGAGGCACTGAGGGAGTGTTATCTTCCCCAATGTCATCTGTCCTAGCTGAAGTCTGGAGCTGGATTTCTGCACCCGTCAATCAAATCCTTAACATCTCCATTTTCCAATCTGGCCTCTTTTAATACAAACTGCTTTCTTTCTTTTTTTTTTTTTTTTTAAGATTTTATTTATCTATTTGA